CCAGTTAGGATGAAGCTTATGAGCACAGATTCTTAAACCAAATAGGGGTAACTTTATGTAGTGATTGAACTGGGGAAGATGAATTCCTGGAGATATTCTCAATTGCTCCCCTTGGTAATTCTTGGGGGTGCCAGTTAGCCAGGGTTTAGATTTGATGTTCTCACAATGTCGTCTTTGTTGCTTCTATTACTGGCCCTGAGAGTTCTCACAGAGTCCCCTGCAGAGCTGGACAGGATTTTACTGTGTGGTTGCTTGCAGCTGGCACCAGCTGTTGCTTCACTTTTCTACCCTAATTTATGTGTGTGTGTGTTAATATTGTGTTTCTCGTCCTCCCCCCCTTCAGATATTACACATATAGTGCCAAATGACTTACTTGTGAACATTGATATTATTAGTGAAGGCCAGTGGCTTTTTCCAAGGGAGCAGTGACTATTTCCATAAAGCCACTTCTAGGTGTGAGGCTGATGGTGTCATTTGTTTTGGTTAATATAATGTTTTTGAAAGAACTATTTTAACTTTAGAGTCAGAAGCAGCAAGTGAAACATAACAATTTGGAACCTCAAAAATGAAAGCTGGAATAATAAAGAAGAAAAGAATCATCTTTTAGCAGCAGCAACCTATAATGAAATTTGAAGAAAAGTAAGATAGGGTGTCTTTTATTAGATCAGATATTGACAGCGAGGTTGTGGCATGATGGACATGCCTTCTGTATGAGATGAGTATGACATCCACTCAGAAAACAGCCCAGTGGGGAGAGAAACGCCAACCATAATAGAAGTGACCTTTCAGTGCCTTGGCCATTGGTATTGCCCAAGGGTAATCCTAGATCACCCATTTTTCCATTTAGATGTAGCTAGACTGACGGGGCAGGTGTCCTGTCAAGAGCAACTGATTTATGAGCAGCTCTCTGTCTCCTTCCTACTTGCCTCTTCCAAAGTGAGCTTGAAAATCTGATTCTCTACCTCCTCATAGGACCTAGAGACAGGACCTGATAAATTCTTTGTTGTAAAATTGCCATTGAACTAATGACGACTGATAATAAAAAGATGTGTAGTATTGCTATAAAGTTCAGGAAGATTAAAATGCAGCTACTGACAGTGGGTTTGAACTGCAGTATCTAGATGAAGTTAAACTGAGCACAACTTAATCCCTTCATTATTATACAAACAAAGAACAAAACAAATGATAGCAGTTGGGCACTGCCTCAAGCACCATAACTTCTGGTTGTTGAAATGAGCTATGGGTAGATTTTGTAACCCACTGTTACCCCACCCTGCCACCGATATCACTGGCCTGCTTCCTTAAACACCTGGGTTACACCCAAATCCTTCAACCCAATTCTAAAAGATGGAAGGTGGTGGAAGTTTGTTTGGAATTCAGTGACCTGTGACTTCTTAGGGGTATAACTTGGGCTGGATAGCACTGAATGTAAGAGAGAAAAGAGTCACATCAGGCCCAGTAGATGCTATTAATGGCACTTACAGAATCCTGCCTCTCACTCTTATATGTTCCCAGTAGGAAAAGTGCTTAAAATCAGTATGGGGACATACTCTAGTTATGTCTTGGAGTGGGGTGTGTCTTTTCTGGAAGCTGGATTCAGATTAGCTTGAATGTCTAACTATACCTGTATGCTTGGTCTCTGTTCTGTTCTGTTCTGTTCTGTGCCCTTCAGAACATCTTAGCTCTCTGGACCTCAGTCCCAGTCCTTCAGCCTGGACTCTGACCATATTTTTGAGTTGTGGTGACCTTACATCATAGTCACTGACTGTTGACTGTCTCAGGACTCAAGTCCCCACTGTGTCCATTCCTTGCCTACTGGCTTGGCCACGCTTTTTCTTCCCAGACCCTCTCATCCTACCCTTCTTCTATGACCTGCTCCTGAGTTCAGGCTTAGGTGACTGGTTGGACCAGAGACTGAGAGTTTAGGTCTGGCAGGAATACTGTTCAGGGACCCAAGCCACAGAGGGGAGAATGTAAGCTGGCTTGAGCCAAGAGCAAAGGGCATTGTGTATTCTCTAGTGATCAACAATCAAAAAAAAAAAACCTATAGCCTAAATGAGAGACAAGTGAAAGCAAGGTGAGTCGTTGAAGATATGCCACATAATGACTAACGTGACACCATGCGCTTGTAACTCAATTGATTGTGAAACCATTGTGAAAAATCATGAGTTAATTTTTATTTATAGCTTTAAATTTTTTGAATGGGTATTATATTCATGTAATTCTAAAGTCAAAGATATAAAAAAGTAGAAAATAAGAAAAAAATTCTTCCCATCTTCTGCCCCAGAGAAAACCAAAGTTATCAATTTCTTTCACACATTTTTAGGAATATTTGGTACATACACATTAGAATAACTGCATCCACCAGTTTGTTCTTTTTTAAAAATGCAAATAATATTGGGAACAGCAGATGGCATAATGGTTACTTAGCTGGAGTCCCACAGTTGATCAGTTCCAGTCCTGGACCCAGAGGCTTGAGACTCACACCAGATGTATGTGTGTGTGCCCAAAATCCCAACAGGAGAATGGAGGAGAAGGGGACTGTGGCATGGCTATTCCCCTCTTGGGGTGGTGGTGGTGGTGATTTCTTGCTTTGCTTCTCTATTTCTGTCTCTCCAGAGAGTGCATACACACCGTATGGCAAAAATCTCTCTCTAAAAAAAAAATGCAAATAATATTATTTTGTACACACTTTTTCCTCCTCCTAACATGTTATCTTTGCATCTGGCCACATCACTTTACACAGAGGTGATTTTTGATTTTGCTTTGGTTTTGGCTTTACAATATTCCATTTTATAGATTGCTATTATTTATTTAGCCACTCTCCAGTTGATGGATATGTAGTTAATTTGTAGTCATTTTGAACAATGTTGAAATGAATGGCTCATTTCTTTGGGTCCTGAGAGGAGTGCTACTGGAAAAGGAGTCTGATGATGTACATACCTTACAAAGATGTAGATGCTTGTTTTTCTCAGTGTACTCTCATGTGCATTCTACTTGCATTCTAATAATGATTTGTTAGGGTGGTAAAGGTGATAAGTACTCAATTACATGTGCTGGTTATAGGAGGAGAGGCATGTCTAGGGAGAGGCAGAGATGGCAACGTTCTTTGATGAGAAGATTGGACAGAAGGAAAGGTCATTTCAGATACATCACAGAATGCTACATTTTATCAGGGAAGTCTACTTTTGCTTCCAGGAAAGTTTTTAAGAGAGTAATTCTGTTGAGAAAATCTCGTTTTTAGGACTCTTTTAAAATATTTGTTTCCTCCCACATGTAAAAAGGGGGAAAAATAGAAAAGGGGGAATAAAAGAAAAGCTAATCATTTTCAGAAAAAGGAATATTTTTGTGTTATTGAGAGCAGATTCAAGCTAGCATCACCTGTAGACATCACTGAGACAATAAAGGTTTTCTTTTAAGGTGATAGACCGCCTGGATTTGATGGTGGTGGGGCATGTGGGCAGAGAGGGGCTCTCAACATACTGATGCATAGCTCTCAAGCTCTTTTTATGCTTAATACTAAGAGAAAATAAGTGCCCTGAACACAGTGTTCAAGACATAGAAATGCTTCAACTCAGGGCACTTAGATTGCTGACTGCTGAGAGAAGTAAACTGTAGCTGCAAATGAAAGATTGATATTCATGATCACACAGAATATCGCTCCAAATCTGTTTCTCAAGTATAAGGGTGAAAGTATAAAGAAAGAAACTTTAAAGCCTAATTAGAAAGTTACCAAATATTGTTCATGCATTTATTTCTTTATAGAAGTTTAAATATTTAATGTATATATATATATATATATATATATGTATTTTTAAAAAAGGGTAATAAAACATATCTTATTTTATTTTAGTATTACTTGAAGCTAAACTTATTGTCCACACCAAACCATTTTTTTTTTAAATCAGTGGTAAATTGCAGGTCAAGTTTTCTTGTTTAAAAGTTTTAAATTATTGAAGATCAAGAACCTAAGCATGCCACAACTTGCCTGGCTTCCTTTGCTAGCATTTAATCCCTCTAGTATTTGCCATAATTCCAAGGACAACATGCAGACTAATGATAATAACCTTCATTGCATGAATGAAAAGAGTGAGAATGAAATATTTTTTTTATTTACCCAAAGTCACATTGCAGAGTGACAGTGTTAATATTTGATCACATTTAAAAAAATAATTAATTAAAAAAATTTATTTATCTAATTTAATTTATTATTATTATTTAGTTTGCTATAGGGCACGAGAAATCACCAGAGAGAGACAGAAAGACAGAGAGAGAGAGAGAGAGAGAGAGAGAAAGAGAGAGAGAGAAAGAGAGAGAGAGAAATTGAGAAAGCAAGCCACCAGGTCCAGGACTCAAACCACAAGCAGTCATGTGGGAGTTCAACATCTCAGCTACCACATCACCTGCTAGTCCCTTGATCCCACTTAGGTCACTTTCTGTAGTATGGGTATTTTAACAATTTGATTCTAATTTATGAACATGAGTTAAATTCTTCTAATTTAAGAACATAAATTCTTCTAATTTATGAACAACTCATGTTCATAAACTAGATATTAACTTTCCATTTTTTGGTATGTCTTCATCACGTTTTTATCATTAGTGTTTCATAATTTTCGTGTAGAGGTCTTTCTTCCTTAGTTAAATTTATTCCTATAGATTTTATTTTCTAGCTATTGTGAATAAGATTGCTTTCTTGATTCTTTTATCAGCTAGTTAGTTTATTATTGGCATACAAAAATGCTAATGATTTTTGTCTGTTAACTTTGTATCATGCAACATTACTGAGATCATCAGTTTTAGAGATTTTGGGGGCCAACAGGTGGCATGGTAGGTAGGGAGCTAGACTCCCATATGGTCAATGGCAGTTCAAGTCTCAGACCTGGTGATTTGAAAATCATGCCTGGTGCATGTTTATGTATGCCTGAGATCCCAGTGTGACTTTAGTTGTTATTTTGTCATATATAGCTTTTGTTGTGGTTGGGATATACTTCTCTACCTACCTGATTTCTTGAGGGTTTTTATAATGAAGAAACCTTGAATTTTATCAACTGTTTTTCTGCATCAATTGAGATGATCATATTTTTTGCCATTCATCCTGTTGATGTAATATAGCATATTATCTATTTGTATATATTGAATCATCCTTGCATCCCTGGAAGAAATACCACTTAGTCATGACATGTAATCTTTTGATGTGCTGTTAGATTTTATTTGCTAGTATTTTATTGAGAATTTTTGCATCTAAGTTCATCAAGGATATTAATTGATAGATTTATTTTTTTTGTGGTGATCTTATCTAATTTTATGGTAAGCTGGCCTTATAGAATGAGTTTGAAACCCACCCCTCAGGTTGAATTTTTGAGAAATGTGTAATACCAATTGATGTTAGTGCTTCTGCAAAAGTTTGGTAGAGTTTAGTAGTGAAGTGTTCTGGTATTGAGCTTTTCTTTAGACAGCCTTTTAAAATACCAATTTAGTCTTGTTACTTGTATTGACCTATTCAGATTTTCTTCCTGGTTCAGTTTTGGTAGGTGGTAAGTGTCCAGAAATGTATCCATTTTCTCTAGGTTTTTCATTTTTTTGGCACATGTAGTTATTTATTATAGTCCCTAATGATCTTTTGTGTTTCTGTGGTATTGGATGTAATAACTTTTTCTTTTTTTTGTCTGATTTTATTTGGGTCTTCTCTAGTTTTTTTTTCTTAGTCTAGCTAATGGCTCATTCATTTTGTTTGCCTTTCCAAAAATCAGCTTTTCATTTTATTGATCTTCTGCATTTTTTAGTCTCAATTTTATTATGTTCATTTTTTTTTTTTTTTGGAGAGGTTTTTGCTGTAGGGCGTGTGCGCTCACCAGAAAGAGAGAGACAGAGAGAGAGAAGGAGAGAAATCATCCCCCGCGGGGATGGTCATGCCACAATCCCTTCTCCTCCATTCTCCTCTTGGGATCTCTGGGGCACACAAGCACAGGTGCCCGGCATGAGTTTAAGCCATCGGGTCCAGGACTGGTACCATACTTGACTACATGGGAGTCCAGTGACATAGCCATTAGGCCAACTGTTGGTCCCAATTTTATTATGTTCTGATCTTCATTGTATTTTCTACTAATTTTAACTTCGGTTTGTTCTCTTTTATTTTTTTAAAGAAATAGCTTATTTTATTTTTGATAGTTCATGCGTGTGTGAGAGAAATAATCGAGAAATAATCTTAACTGCCACCCTCTCTCCCTTGTCCTCCATCTCACTGGGTTCTTGGGCATGCACACTTGTACTGGAATGTTTTCCAGCTGACCTAGGGACCAAATCTGTAGTTGGTCATGAGGCTTCCAACACTGTAATTCAGTTTGCTGCTAACGGTGTCTTCAGATTGGGCCAGATTTGTTCTGTTCTTGCTTTTCTAGCTACTTGAGACATAGTAGTTCGAAAATTTCGTATTATTTATTTATTTATTTATTTATTTATTTATTTTGATTGCCAGAGAGCATTTGTGCCTGCCAAGGAGAGAGAGAAAGAGACAGACGGACAGACAGACAGACAGACAGACACAGACACACACACACACACACACACATACACACAGGCCAAGGGAGAAAGTACTCCTCAATGGGGCATAGTCATGCTGCAATCCTTCTTCCATTTTTTCATCTTGTCTGGATTTGGGCACTAATGTATGTGTACCTATGTGTTTTTCAAGTCTCCAGAACTGGAATTCGAACCGTGGAGAACCATGCAGGATCTAGCTCCTTAGCTCCTAGGCTATGGGGTCAGGACCTATCCTTTTTTTAATGTAGTAATTTATTGCTATAAACTCCCCTTTTAGTTCTGCTTTTTTGGTATTTCATAAGTTTTGGTATGTTTTGTTTTTGTATTTCATTTGTATCAAGAACATTTCAAATTTCCTTCTTAGTTCTTCATTGATACCATGGATCTAATAATAATTGCTTTATGTATTTGGGTGCTCCAGTGCTGGGTGCCTATATATTTACCCTTTCATAGCCTTTTGATAGACTGATCCCTTTATCAAGACAAAGACCTTCTTGATCTGTTGTTACAGCTTTTGACTTAAAGCTCATTTTATCTGATGTAATTCTTTAATACGCTTACTTGTTGTTGGTTTCCCTTTGTGTGGAATACATTTTTCTATCCCTTTAAAGTGCCCTTTAAAAATGGCTTTTGAGGTAATAAAAACCGTAACAAGAAGGCCAGATGGAAGAACATGAGCAGACTTGTTTCTCAGCATATGAAATATCTGAAAGCATTCCAAATATTAGAGGTTTTGATTGGGTCAGGGTATGGGGAGAATCCATTCTTGGAGCCAAATCTATGAATCAGTGACTTCATTTGGTGGATGAAGCCTAGGGAAATTCAAGGAACACTTAAAAATAGAAACATCTGGAATAACTTACACAAAAATAAAAATGATATGCAACCAAATGTAAATGATGATAACAGTAGTCTTTTTTTAATTGGTGGAGAGGGTTTAAAAAGAGAAAGACATTGAGCTTCAAAAGCAAAGCAAAACAAAACAAAAAGGTTGGCACACAGATAGAAGTGAGTCAGGAAGGGGAAATTGGAGAAACAAAAAACCAAGTAGGACAAGGGTTATTTTCTGTTTATCTTTATCTGTGCAAGAATCCAACAGAAGAAGCTGGTTGCAATGGTCCTGTACGTGTTGTTGACAACTTAGCGAGGGTTGTAACAAGCATCCATGACAATGTGGGCACATGTATTATCTCTAAACACGGGTTTCCTTTAGATACCTCAGACTACGCAGTTACTCTGAGACTTGAATTCTAGCATAAACACAGCTGGCTCAGAACTCACTTAGCGGTATTAGGCAGGATCTACCAATGAGTAGGATAAATTTCTTGGAGGAACATAGAGAACATGTGCTGATGCTCCATACAGATCATCTTTCCTGGTTGTACCATTTGGTTAAAAAGAAAAAATTAAAAACAAAATCGACAAATGTCTAGAAGAGTAGTTCAAGTCCAATTAAATCCTTGTTAGTCTTCAGTAACAAATTCTACAGTCCTTTCAGAAAAATTAAAAATATATTTCCATCTTTTACATCTTTTAATCTCACTTGAATGAAATATTGAACAACTCTTCACATTTTTTTTAAAGAAGAGAGGTTCTAACTATTTATCTATCTATTTTTATGAGAGAGAGACATAGAGAAAGAAGCAGAGACAGAGGAGGAGAAAGAAAGAGCAAGAGAGGTATTTTCAACAAGGTCTCACCATGCCACAATCCTTCCAGCCATTCTCCCAGTCTGTTAGAATTTACAGGGACACACCACTGTGCCTGGAGTGTTTAGGTTGTCTGGTTTCCAAAGCTAGGCCTTCTATAAGGCTCCATCATCATGTGTTGGGACCCTCTTCATTTATATCTTCAATATAAATCATGCCAATCAGATTTTATTTATAGGAAGACAAAATACTGTTTTTTTTTTCTCTGAAATTAGGCATGCATTTAAACCAAAGATACTGGTTTGCTTGTCAATCTATAAGGTAAAAATTAAATATTAAAATTAGCCTGAGCTCTCAACATTCAAGTTTTTTTTTTTTAATAAAAGCATAAGCTAACAGGGTTAACATATCCAAAAATGTAACTCTTGTTGCCCATCCTCCACAACTTGACCTCTCAGTTGTCTCTCTTTATATCATACTACCACCACCCCCATTTCTTGAGGAAGAAATCATGGAGTCTTCTTTGAGCACTTCCTTTCACAGAACCTATTTCAAATCACCAGCAAGTTTAATAGTTTCTCCCTCCTAAATATAATTAAATCCATCTACTTTTGCACCTACTCGACTGCCACCAGTTCTCTCTTGGAGAACCACCAGGCCACATTCTTCAAAAGAATGTGGGTTATGCTACAGGTAATAGGTCCCTCTGGAAAATGTACTTTCTCTTTCCAAAAGCAAACAGAAAACTCACAAAGCTAGGAGCTAGGCATTAGTGGCAGGTGTGGTACCACCGTGAGAGTGAGTGCCAGTGATAATTCTGAGGCTTCACCACTGAGAAGGGGAACCTAAACCAATGACTCTCCTGCTGATTGGAGACTCTCAGGGAGCTGAATTGGTTATTGGTTGGTGATGTCTGCTTGCTATTGACCTCTGAAAGAAAGACTATCCAACCTAGTTCTAGTGAATTTCCCATCAAAAAAAAAAAAAAAAACCAAACCAAAACAAAACAAAAAACAACAACAACAAAAAACCCCAAATGATGAGCTCACAAATACCATAAGATATTGAAGACGTTAAGTACTGTATATGTCGAAGATATTTAAAAAGATAAAGGGGAGTAAGGTACAGAGATAATATATGTAAAGCATTTAGCATTATGTTTGAAATGCAGTGTAGGCTTACTATGTGGAAGCTGCATTTGGATTTCACTTCAGCCTTTCTTTTCTGAACATGTTATTGATAACCAATTCTCCAGCTATTCTCACCCTGAGATACATGTTAATCATGAAGTTTACCTTTCCCTGGACAGACAGTCTACACAATATGGTCTAGAATTTATGGCAAGTTATACATGGAGGGAATATAGTAGTTTTCTCTTCATGTAGTAACAAATTGCCAAAAACTTAGTGGCTTAAAAAAACCCCACAAACTTATTCTCTTGCTACTTCTGGAGGTCACAAATATGTAATACATTTTAGGGGCTAAAATCAAGGCTAAAGGCTCTAGGGGAGAATTTCTTTCCATGTCTTTTCCACTTTTTGGAAGCCACCTGTATTCCATGGCTCATTAGCATCTACATCTTCAAAGTCAGTCGCATAGACTTTTCTTTCCCTTTGCTCCTCTACCTTCATCTTATAAGGACATTTCTGATTATATAATCATTTTCACATCTCAGGATTTTATAGGTTTGCTTTCTCTCTCTCATCAAATTAAAAATATTAAAAATAACAAAATAAAATAAATAGTTTATATATATATATATATATATATATATATATATATATATATATATATATATATATATATATATATATATAAACTATTTATTTTATTTTGTTATTTTTAATATTTTTAATTTGATGAGAGAGAGAAAGCAAACCACCAG